CATTCAATGAAATAAAAGGTTCCAAACTGGTGAAGTGATCCGCCATAACCTAGTATCGGGAGTCACACACAACACACACAGCGGGTCAGTGCCTGGTTCAAACTAGTTCTCCAAAACCCCAAATGGGTCATTAAATTCTCTTAACAAGGTTTACCTTTAATATATAAATGTTCCTCGTAATACTTGGAGAGAAGGCGTACTCTGCACCTGGTCGAGTATAAGGTAGGAGACCCAGCTGGTGGCATTCACCCACCCGTCCCACATTCGCTGACTGGTGTCACCAATATTTATGTGCTAGGTGCACACTGCAGGGGGCACGTGCTTGGAAAGGACAAGGCTGGAGTCAGGTAGTTCCTGCCCCAACTTTGCACCTCTCTCCTCCACGCAGCTATGTTGACTCCACACCCCAGCTCCAAAGGGTTAATGCTCTTCTGACCCTGACCAGGCAAACCTAAGGCTTCATTTAGCATCAAGTTCATTGGTGCTGACCTGGCACTGTGACAGGGGACTGACCCCAATGTCCTGTTCCTCTGTGGCTGAGGGCAGGGTAAGGAGGAGAGGAAAGGAACAGGAATTGTAAAAAAATAACGCCACAGTGCTAGGTCACAAGTACGGTGTAGGTGGAAAGCCCAATGGATTTCAGCTCTTATTAATGCACATAAAGCTCAACTCACGCTTATTGAGCACTTACTATATGCAGGGCATTAGGTTATGCCCTTTACCTGCATAATGTGAAGAGATATCGGTATGAATCCTGGCCCTAACCCCTCATTCACTGTGTGACTTTGGCCAAGCTGCTTAGCCTCTGTGCCTCCATTTCTTTGTCTGCAAAATCTATACTAATAAAAGGGTAATATGCTAATTAGACCAGGTAGACCGGACATCTTCCAGATGTCCTTCCAGACAAAGCCACAGCGGCAGCAGCGGCAGCAGTGGGGTGATGGGGGCAGCGCCTTCCCCTGGTCAGCCTGGTTGCCTCCTGCAGAGGGAGGCCAGACTGCGGTTTAGGCCCTCTGGGAGCAGGCCTAAGCCGTCAGTAGGACATCCCCTGAGGGCTCCTGGATTGTGAGAGGGGGCAGGTGGGGCTGAGGGGAGCCCCCCCCCATGCATGAATTTCGTGCACCGGGCCTCTAGTAGGGTAATAACAGTACTAACTTTAGAGCATTGTTATGAGGATTAAATGAGTAAAAGCATAAAATGCTAAACCTGAACCATGTCCTGGCACAGAATAAGCGCTCAGTACTAAAATGAACAATTATTATCCCTTTAGTCAGTCACACTACTTTGCAGATAAAGCAGGCTGTCTCTGCTTATTTTACCAATAAGGCTTTGAGAGACTGAGTCAACTTGCTCAAGGCCGCAGAGTTAATAAGTGGCAGAGCTGGGATCTGAACCCAGGCAGCCTGACTCCAAAGCCCACAATCTTAAGCACCACCGTGAGCATGGCACTGTGCTAGGTTCTAGGTACATAAAGAGCCGTGGGAGATGAACTAGGGATCCCTATGCAGTGCAGTATACACTACACGAGAGAGATATTGAAAGAAAAAAGGGGGGGGCTGGGGCTCCGGTAACAGGGAGCAGCAGTCTGCAGGACCTGAAGAATACTCCACCCACAAGGGGACTTGAGTTCTAGCCCCAAGAATGATGAGAAATTTGCCAGCCAAGGAGGAAGGGAATTCCAAAAAGTCAGGACCTAGAATAGCAAGAGAATAGCCCAGGAATGAAGGGAGATTGGGGACAGAAGCTCGTATAATTGTCCAAACTGGAGCAGATAAGAGGATGAGAATAGTGAGTTGGGCCCCAGCTGATTTGGCTCAGTGAATAGAGCGTCAGCCTGCGGACTGAAGGGTCTTGGGTTCGATTCCAGCCAAGGGCATATGCCCAGGTTGCAGGTTCGATCCCCAGTAGGGGAGCGTGCAGGCAGCAGCCAATCAATAATTCTCTCTCATCATTGATATTTCTCTCTCTCTCCCTCTCCCTTCCTCTCTGAAATCAATAAAAACATATTTTTTTAAAAAAAAAGAATAGTGAATTGGGTGGTATGGTAGGGCAGGCACACACAGCATAAAGTTAGGCTGGGACGGTAAGTGGAAGCCGGTCATGAACAGCCATGTGTGCCAACATCAGAAGTTAGATTTTATCTGTGAGACAGTGATTTGTCAACTTTATTATGGACAGGATCTACCTTCGTAAAACAGGTGTAGATTCCCACCCCTGCTGTTAGCTCCGGGGGGTGGGGGGTAACATCGGTCTTAAGGGACTGTAGTAGCAAGGCCTGCTGGGGTTTTAACAACAGAATTCTTGCCCAGGAATGAAGGGAGACTGGGGACAGAAGCTTGTATAATTGTCCAAACTGGAGCAGATAAGAGGATGAGAGTTGGAAATAATAGCGCTCTTCATGAACTGCTACATGATATCAGGTTTCTCAATCTCAGCACTATTAACATTTGGGACTGATCATTCTTTGTGCGCAGGGTTGGGGGGTAA